GTCATGATGATGATGATCATCATCATGACTGTCACCACCATCATCTTCTTCTTCTTCTTTTTCTTCTTCTTTTCCTTCTTTTTTTTCATCATCGTCATTGTAATCATCATCGTCATTATTATCATTATCATCACCATCATCAATATTATTATTATCATCATCATCACGTCGTCATCATCATTACCATCACCATCATCACCATTAATTTTACCTTTTTAAACTGAATAGGATGACCAACAACGATTTAGTATCTTCTGTTTGATTATATCTATGATTGTTCATCTAATGTATATATTTATATATTTTGGCAAATATTTCTGAATTATTCATTTATAAAATATTTTCCGTGTACATAATATATATATATATATATATATATATATATATATATATATATATATATCTGTTTTATTTATATTGCCATAAAATAATAAGTAAATTAAATATAGGATAAAATATTTTTTAATAATTTTAACCACAACAAGAATTTTTCATTAATATTATTAGGATTTTATAAAATGGTAATTATTTTTTATTCAACGTTAATAAATCTCGGAAAAACTTTACTTTCATTTGTTTTTGTGTACTATTACACGGTCATTCAACATGCTGGCAGATAAAGACACTGATTAAAAATCGTGGCTTATATATATATATATATATATTTTTATATATTTTTATATATTTATATTTATATATATATACTTATATATGTTGAAAGGAGACTATATTTTATACAGTAGTGTATGAATTGTACCGAATTGTTGGCATTAATCAATTTGAAGTTTGTCTTTTCCATTTTCTTTACTAGGATTTTCTGGTGATTGTTCAATTTTCAGAACTTTAAATTGAATAATGCCAGCAATTCGGAAAAATTCATAAATATACTTATCTATATATATATATATATATATATATATGTGTGTGTGTGTGTGTGTGTGTGTATATATATATGTAAATATATATATATATACAACCTAAAATACTTCTATTTGTTATACCTGTATGAATGTGTG